AATTATGAACGAATAGAAGAAAGCGAATAGAAGAAAAAGCTTTGACGTGGTATCTGACAGAATTGAATCTGTGAAAAATTGTATACAAAAGAAAATACAATTGTGTGAATGATATACAATACATTCGTGGACTCATGTCGATAGGACCTTGCGTTCGCACTGTCTGCTGTAAAAGATTAAAAGTAAATAAGATAAATTTACAAAATAAGAATATTTATCGCATACTATCATAATATGCGCTTACGCAGCTTTGACGTTTCTAACAGTCTAGACACGTGTACGATGATGATTCAAACGTACAATAAAAGTTGCATATATTTCATAAAAAAAAAATTTTAACTTTATTATTAGAATTGGTCGATGGCACTGAGAAAAAAATACGATGGTATTCTTAACTATGTAGCAGGGTAAAAATATTATTTAGTGAAACCAAACTTGTAGTATTTTTACAATGAATTCATTAGCGCAACTTATCTTAGCATACTTGAGTTTACTATTGCAATTGGTGGATATAATTGTAGTAACAAATACTAACTTCATAGTGAATTACTTTTATAATTTCAAAGTCAAATTTACTTACAAAAACAATTAAAATCTACTATGGACAGTAATTATAGTTAGCCATGGATGTCAAGGTTAATTATTGTAGTATATTTATCGTTAAAAAAAACCATATTTACGCTAGTAATTTTCACTTAATAAGAACAGTTAATATGACTTTTAGCAATCGGCTGCTGGCAAAAAATTATTACTAAATTCAAAATGATTTCTTCTTATACATATATTAAATTTCAATACAAAGTATGTACCGAGTATAGGAATCATTGGGTCCATCGCTATACATATATTTAATATTCCATCGTACTGAAATATCCTAACAACTTATTCAAGCAGTGGAAAAAAACGTAAATAGTTTGTAGTTGCTGACAAATATTTCATTGCTAGAGCAATTAACTATACTATTTTTACTCGCATATCTGGTCAAATTAACTAGACCGTTTCGTTAGTCACAAGAGTGGAAAAGTTATATCTAACTATGCAATTCACGGTGGATATTATCATCTAAAAATAGTAAAATACGAGGTTGATCAATTTTACTGTTACCAAACAATATTAATATGTCGTAAATATTAGTAACGATTGTGATCAGCGTAACAAATCTGAGTTTACTATAAACTATAGTTAAGTCCTTTCGGAACCCTGAAAAATAGTTAAGAAATGATAAGTTTGACCATATTTTTTTCTCAGTATGTATCCAAAAGCCAATAGCGTCGTATTCTGTAAAAAAGTCCGATTAAAATTATAATCTTAGCTAATGCATATTTGTCAAAGCTAAAATAATAAGCAGGAGCAAACAAATTGACAGTGCGAGCAATGCCGAACTAAAAGACGAGAAATAATGTTTTCAAAATATTTCTTGATTCAAAGTATTGTTCCTGAATTAAAAAAAAAATAGGAGTCTGTAAAAAGAAAGCATGACAGCTTTGAAAGGGAAAACTGTGATAAGAACAATAAATTAACTCTGAGAATCAATAGAGAAAATTCAAGATTTCAACAATGGTTACGATGTCTTAAGCGATTGTCCACTAGCGGAATGAAAGGAGACGAAAGAAATGGACCAATCCAGAATAGGAGAATAGAAACAACGAAGTAAATCTAAAAGATCGCGACAGTGGAGAGCTGAACAATGACATTAACACCAGGTTTACAGACTATTATTATACACCTATCTAAAGACTGCATATTTCTATAAAAAACTACTTACTTCATCCAAAACCAACATAACTACACACTATTAACTTAGAATGTTCAACATTATACAACATTACATTTATTAAAGTCAGCACAAGTTGTAGAAGAGAAACGTAAACGGTTAATGTAATTTTTCGTGTGCGTCTAAAGGACGCGTCCTGTAAACCTAGTGTTAAGGAAAAGGCAGAATATTGAAGAAAATAAGAAAAGAGCAAGCTTTAGAAAACGATAAACAAAGCCGAATTGATTCCAGAAGAGCTGGGACCAAAATATACGCGAATATTGAACGATCTGTGGACGAAAAATGAGATAACCATAAATTGATGTACTTATAAGTAAAATTTACCCGATCCACAATTCCAAATAAATGGACGATGTAACGAAATACAGAGAGACAGCCTTTGCTTGAATTTACACCCAAAATGCTAAGAAATAAATGACGAAATACTAAGAAATAAATGCTAAGAAACTGGTTAAAGGGGACAAGAAAAATTCCAAGATTGCCAAGCAGTAGCTTCAGAGAAAAAAAATTTTCAGGCTATACTTACTGATCAAGACGATAGTGAATTATCAACAAGTATGTATAAATTCTATGTAGCTTTTGTGGAATTCAGAGTCGCCCTTATCATAATATCAAAAAGTTTATTGCTTCTTGATTAAAAAAGAGGGTTGATGGACACGATAGGGAGAGCATTTATAAACTAATGAATGCGTAATGATGATCAACGACAAAATTTCAGTTTAAAAAATAAATAAAAGGATGATGTTGTCAAATAAACCCCGTTCTATTGAACGTATACCTAAAAGGCACAAAAGAGGACAGCGCATAAAAAGAATGTAAACAGAGTGGCTGAAAGATATGGAAAAAATATTGGCAGAAATAGAACATGAAAGTATGTTGATAAGGATGTAGGGAAAAAACCGACACGACAGCAATAGAATAGAATCAAGAAGCTTGTAAGAAATATTGGGGTAAACAGGTTTCCTATGAGATACGACCGCTTGAGCCACGCGGTCGCATCTTATGCATACGCCGTTATGGAAAAAAAAAATTAATGCTACCATTGCGAAACTTCGGAACTAGAACTATTCAGCGTTTGCAAATGTTAATGATACATTAACATGCTCGTAACTTTTCCTGTAAATTTCAATCAGGTTCTTGAAACGGTCCAAGCTGAATTTTGAATATAGACATATGTAAGTTTTCAAATTAATCCGCATGCAGATACTACTGTATAATCTGATCTAGGACTAAATTTTTTTGAAAAATTTCAATCCTATCCGCAAACCATCTCATCGAAAAACGTGATTGACGTCAATAACCATAACAATGGTTCTAGTAGGATAAATGTTTGAAAAATTGGTTCACTACGTGTACGATTAAATTTAAAAAACAAAAAAAAACAATAAAATTAAATATTTATCGCGATAAAAATTCCCGAAAATCGACTATTTTTGGCAGTCTACTCCGAAGTCCATCCTTAAGGATTGAAGGGTAAAAATGTCTAAAATTGGAATAGATAAACCCATTGAAGAGCATTCAATTTTCGTATAGATATTTTAATATAAATTTTCAGTTCGATTTTTTACTTCATTAGTGATAGCCAATCAATTATAGACGTCTTTTTTCATTTCAACTTTCATATATTTTGTGTTCTTGTACAAATCTCTATTTCTAGATGACAAATATTTCAAATCATTTTAATAACTCTTTAGTATGCTGATACTGAATCGAAATTGAGTCTATTCAAGTACGGCATTCCGAAGGAATTACGGCTTCGGGAAAATATCGATCAAATGGGTTTATTATTCATTCGAAAAGAGCACGTCTAAGAATTACAAAAAGGAAACGGTTGAAAAATGGCACCTATTCTTGCGAATAAAGGATACCGAGAGATTTTTACGGTCACTCCCTCGAAAGAAACTATCTGGATAGTTAGGATTGTACATTATCATCAACGGATGTGGCTTCCAAGAAGACATTCTAAATTAAAAACAATGTCTAAAGTAGGTCGCATAGCTGATATCTTACTAGAGTATCGAAAAGTCTTTTTATTTCCTTACATTTTAAATTGTATTCCTTATACTGTGTTTAAAGATCCTAAATGTTCATTTAAGGAAAGATACATCTTCGACAGTTTTACACACAACGTAATTAATTTGTAGATAAGTGCCCAAACATTGATCTAAAAAAAAAAAAAATAAGAATCCACATGATTGAAACGGCACGGAAAAATTAATTTTTAAGAAAAGTGTGTAAAGCAAAATAAAATAAAATAAATAAAACTAGTACATTATCAGCCTCTACTTTATACATCTTTCCCAGTCATCGCCAGATATAAATTCCATTGCGAGGCTAAATTTTGTAATTACTTTTTGACGATTCTATCCTCCATCGCCCGGATCTGAAATTGAGTTTTTTGGGTATAATAAAAATCGTAATCAGGTCACGTGATTTTAAACTCGTTTTCAGTCCTGCATGAAAAAAACATATTATATGTCAAAGATACTTCTGGATTTAGATGTAGTATGGAGCTAGTATAATAGCTAATTCAATTTATCTCATCTCACGAGTCTATTAATAAATGTGACAAATAATGCAGGAAGTCAGAGTCTAGGTGTGCCAATCACAACCTTATCTTGGACATTAATTAACCGTCCACCCACCGATCTTATATAAATAATTAATAAAGCTGGGCGCAACGCTTGGTACTCCATATTGCAGACCATTCCTTGGTTGCCCCATTTCTAAACCGAGATTACACCGACCGAATTTCCTGTTTTTGCTATTCATAAATCTCGAGGGAGGCGTAATTGGAAGATTACAAATATTCATTCATATAGTGAAGAATGTACGTTAATATTGGCAAAACTGACACAAAAAGAACAAGGATATCATTCAATTCATCATAACCGTCTCGAATACCAGCCTGTCATTGTTTATTATAGTATATGAATTTGACAGATACCTATCTAACCACATTTAGAATGATCGAAGTACAATGAGATAAGCTTTGATAGTAATTCTAATTTTAATTTTTAAAAATCAAAAAAATATACCATTGTTATTATTCACAGTTGCACATTTCATGGATACGAGTAGATGGCTCCACCTTAGTAAGAGATGAGACAATTTTGAGAAACATACATAAACAGGCGAGACCATTGAAAAGATCGTCGTAAACTTTACATTCAGAGTGAAGAATCCTGTTTTTGTGACGTGACGTACTTTAGCAATTTACTGGGTATAAAATGGGTGCCAACTGATAGGATAGAACGGTCCAACAGGTGTTTTCAAGTGATGGTTCAGTGGATTTTTTCTGTTTTCATTTGAAGCGTTGTCGGAATCCAGTTGAGATTTTTTAAATTCAAATCAAGCAAGAAATCTACATAAATAACTACACGTCGCGACATAGAAGCAAGGTGAAGATTTCGATTTGGTCGTTGTTCTAGTTACCGACGTATGTACTCATGGCTATCGGAAATCTTGGGCACGTGTACGTACACGCGGCGATCGATAAGTGTTACGGGATTTGTTGTGAACTCGAAATAACTGTGAAACCAACGACAGATACAAGAATGACGGCAGTTTCACGATACTGAGTATACATGGATCGTAGATGGAGTATAAGTTATGAAATAAATCATTTAAAAATACGAACGGATACGAAAAAAGAATTACTCGCACTTCGATGACACTTGGTTGATCCTAGCCTACAAAACTGTCAGATACAACTTTCTTATGGATTCATTGGAGGAGGCTTAACTGAAAACCCAAATAAAGGTGAAGGTAGTTGGCACATTGACTTTACTTTGTATTGTTTGTTATATTTTTAATAGTCGAGCGAACTTGCACATTTGGAAAGGAAAGTAAGACGTCAGACGTCTGGCGTCGTAACGAGAGACTTGCTTAACGTAGGATAAAATGCAGGGACGAAGAAGAATGCGTCTGAAGCAAGGTGCCAAAGGCGCTTCTATTTCGAGCGACGTACGTGTGCAAACATTATGATATAACGGATAAATCGGACAATGTCAAGGGAACACGAAGGAGCCAAAGAGCCAGGAAACCAGGGAGTCAGGGTACCACCAACCAGCGAAACGACAGAGAGGACGATAAACTAGAGAAGCGAAATGTGTCCGAGTCTCTTTCTAGTCTCATTAGTAAGAGATAGAATGAGCATGCGTAACCTTGTACACAATGGGATAATAACGTGCGTAGATTCGCCGTGGCTGTGCGTTGGTAAATAACGGATAAATGAGCGTGGAAGTCCTAATGGATGCGTGTTCAGTTTCATGAGAACCCGTCATTTTTGACCTACCTCACTGAATTCGAAGTCGCGCCGACGAATCCAAATTGAGCAAATGTTCTTTCACTCTCCCGAAAACACACCGAGACGAGTCGCTAATCAAACGCTTAATACAATCCACAAACGAACCAATAAATATTTGTCCCACTAGCGAAATCCTACATAGAGCATGTACACGGGCCACAAAAACAATGCGATCGCGCTGCTATCTCGCCGTGGTTTGCGCAACTACTCACACTCCACCGGGCTCGAGTTTCCCTGGATGCTAGCACGCATGCGTTTCATTTTTACCCTACGGGATTTAGATATACTCGAAAAATGACACTCGATGCGTAGAACGTAATTGTGTTGAATTTTATTTGGTTCCTTCGTCACTTTGAAAAATCACGTTAACTCACAACGTTCTAACCTACAAGTTTTAAACTCTAACATGACTAATGTTGTCCCTCAGACTCATACACTGCCATCAAACGGACTTCCTTGGCAGATATTCCTTTGAATTCTCTTATTTCCTTTCCATGCGCTGTAGAAAAATGTGATTGTATTGCAGGGTTATCTACACTTCATAATTATACTGTGACCTGTCAACTATCAACAGTTACTTTAATACTTATAAACTCAAAAGAGATTTGGATATTTTACTCAGCAACTAATTACCTCGCATCGACATAACTGTAAAATCAAATATAAATTTTATACATGAAAAATACCTAACGATCGTCTATATATTATTCACACATCAGGGTAAGATTGACATGTAACATTGATAATTTAAATAAATGATATAGGTTTGTCACTGCTAATTATTTCATACATTGAAAAGACTAGTAACATATGTACCATTCATTAAGCGATTAACGTCACGTAATAAAATTATTTTCAATATTGATTTTATAAGAGATTACTACAGATTAGAGTTGGTTAGTGGGCGATCTTTTGACTATGAAAGTGGGAACAACAGGTCTGACGTACTTAATAACTTTACCCTAGTTCGAATTATTTCAAATCAATAGTATAAATACTAAATTATTTACTTTTATGATGCCGTTCGATTATAGTTTTGTTTAATATGTTATTCTGCACAGATAAAAATTATTTTATTACTAACACTAAAAGTTTATAATTGTATGCAATAGGGACTTTTAAATACTTACATTGGCCATTTTGATTATAAACAAGGTAGTTAGTAGTGTAATCTAACGATGAAAGTACGAACTATTTTATACTGACTGATACTGACACTTCAAGGTGTGATTTCAGTCATTTCGTTGTAACAAAGTGAACAAAGCCGATTTACAGTAGACAGTAGTAAGAGGCGCGTCAGTTTTTAATAATTGCAGTATGGTCAACGTCTCTGAAGGAACTATTGTTTAGGAATACTTTACATTAGGTTTTATAATTGTGCGCATGTAAGTATAATATTATCGAACTTTTGTACATCTTTTTTAAAAATATATTTAACTTTCTTGGAGTTTAAGTCGCAAATACTATTCAAATTATAACTAATGATTATTAAAAGATTTTCCACCCTTAATAGTAATTGTAGAAGTTGTTAGGTTAACATGACATCACTTTGTTTAAAATTAGGAAAGTTCATATTTTGTTATCCTTAGGAATCTGAATTCCAAATTATTCATTTATGTATTTTTTTTAATGACATATAATTCTTACTTGATTTCCACATTACGCAGAGTAGGTTTCCTTTATTGCATGATCTGTGAATTATTTTCATTAGCTGTAGCAACAATAACCTAATACTTGATTATATTACTTGTTTGCTAAAAGGTATTGAAATTGCAGAAGATGTCTTGGTTCTTTGGAAAAAAGAAGCACCATAAGGAGTCTCCTCCAGAATCCTCCGATGAAACACTACCAAATCAAGGAGATGATTTCATCTTTATAGAACGACGTGGAAATCCTGGACCTGAGTTACCAAGTGATAGAAGTTCACAACCAAGTGGTGGTTTATATCCAGTTATTGATAACATACCGTACAATCCAACTCCTATTCCTACAAACTTTCCAAAGCAAACTGCTCACAATGAAAATCAAAATTATCTGCAGGGTGTCCCATTCAAATTATGCAAACATTTAGATAATACCATTTCTGGAGATTCCGACATTGATATGTTTAGAGTTAATGAAATATTATCTTTCATTGTAAGATTAGAAAATGAAGATTTCACATACGACTTTACCCTTGAAACCAGTGTTGCAAATGAAATGGATAGTAGAACCGAATAAATAATGAAAAAAATTATTACATGTTTTTATCTGTTAATGTAAACTAAAAAAATGTACGTTTTCAAGATGCGTCATTGAGAGCAAATTATTGTACAACCTGTGAGATTATGCTTTTTCAATTGTACATAGACACAATACAATCACTTCTTGCAGCTTACTAAACACTTCTTTTTTATATGAATTCTCTACATTTTGTTTACTAATGATGTTTAGCATTAAGTATGATAACATCATGCTTTTTGTACTTTCAAAATTTTATACATGTTTGGTATATAAATAGTGTATCTAGTAAATATATTGAAATGAGAAAACAATTTTAACAAATTATACAGTTAAATAAGTTTACATGGCACTACAATTAACATGCCTTTTGTTACTTATTTCTTACACACTAATTATTGCCCTTGAAACTGTACATCAAATTTGTTGCTAAGTGTTAATGTTTTTATGTACAAATTAAAAATTATATAGCTTCTACATATTCATGTGGAGTTCAATGTAATTATTGAAATTTATTTAAAAATAACAAATATTATACAACGTTGATTGGGAATTGGTCAATAAAAACATACCATATAAAGAAAGAAGACTATTAATAGTAATAATATGTATTATATGTCTGTGGCCTTATGATCAATAAAAGATGACAAGACTTGGGAAGATACTGTAGCAGTTTCATTCATAGAAAAAGGTAAAGAACAGTAATACATGTAACAATTAGGAGAAATGGTAAGAATGTCTTAACTGCTCCACAGAAGCTGAAAATATAAAAATAGTTTAATGAATTAATAGGGCTTATATTATAATAAGGTTTATATGCTACTATATTAAACTTACCTAACAAAACGACCACATATAAAAAGGATACATGCTAATTTTATCATGTTCCACCTTTGATTTTTGTAGTTCATTAACTCCAATGCTGTAGCAACATGAGAATGGCAATTATCAAGACATAAGTTATGCTGAAAAGATTTATAATATGAAGTCCTATTATTCTTTAACATACGGACCAGGCTATTCAGCTATAATGTATCATCTGAAGTTAATTTTGCCATAAGAGTCAAATGGACACTATACATATAATTGATAAATTGGAGCTAAATAATCATACATATTTAAATTAAAAAATGTTACCATCCGCCCTTTATATTTTTCACTAGCTTCTGCCACTGCTGAATCCCAACCTTGAATACCTCCTCTAGCATTTTGGTAATTTAATTGCAAATATCTTGTAGGTTGTCCAAATGCCATATTATCTTCAGATACATGATAAGGACCAGCAAAGTCTCTTATTATGCCAGAAGATGTTCCAATGCCCATATGACCAATAAAGGGAAAGAAATATCTGTGAAAAATAAACTCTGCTCTTAAAAAATTTTTATACAAACAAGAATACTTTAAATTGTTACATACGTCAAGAAAGGTATTGGAGTCCACACGATGCAGAATGGAAATTTTTTCCTAACTGGATCTACCGTTAAATCCATTATTGGCGATGATGTGTCACTTAGTACATCATTATCTTTCATCTTTAATTACGCCTCGTAAGAGATACAACATGTTCAAAAAGTGACATTAACATTGTATAATCTTCATGTTGTACATTGATCTAAGCGAAAATCATATTAATAATCCATAGACAGCTACTACTTGTGCCCTCTGACACAAAATTATACGCTTCGCAAAATTAAACAAACAAGCCAATTTTTACTTCTTTATAAAAAGATGTGAATAACCGCTTAAATTTTATCAGTAAATAAAGCACATGCAAATGACTTGGTCACTATAAGTAAGAGTGTCGTTCCTCGCGACAAATAAATGTCTTCTTTCCAATAAAATTGATTCGTCAAATATAAGCACTTCTACTTTCAAGAGTTCCTTGAATCTTGTCGAACTCTTATCATCTAAGCACTAATAGCACTGGATCGCTTACATTCCGTATAAATGTCAACAAATATATTACTCACATATTTTACTAACAGCGTGGTTAACAGTAAATGACAAAAAAGGTTTAGGAGGTGCTGCCCCCTCAGAAACTTTTCTTCCTTGATTGAACAATAACACTTTTAACTTTATCGACTGAGGCCGGTTGAACCAGAAACTGACAGCCATATTTTATTTTACCCGTGTTGTATTATCTTTATTATTTTTATATATCATATTATAATATTGTAAATCAGTCACTAGTATTTGAGCCATAACGCGGTTTATGATAAAGCAGAAGAGCAGGAAGTTATGATAAAGGAATTATAATAGCGGATTTTGATACTACGTCAAACTTCAACCCCTTCATAATCAACAGCTTTCACTTGAAAAAGTCCCCAGTAAAAAAAACCATCTTTCCATATTTCTACTGGTATTCCCCTGGCCATATTGCCAGACCACGCTTATCAATGCACGAGCATCCCCCAAGTTATAACCACGTGACATGGTATCAGATGGATCATGCCCGCTCAATATATATATATATTGATTTTTTTAATATATAATATGACGTTTACATTAATTTTAAAGGATAATGTTAATATTTCTTAATTTAATAATGTCTAATGTCATTATTGTTAGCTGAGTTAATTCTTTAAGTTAAACAACATTAAATGTAATTAATTGAAAAGGAATAACAGGTTTAAATTAATCTCAAGATGCTCAAATAATTTGTAATTTCAGTTTTAAATTAAAAAAGATCACATTTCAAAAACATGATAAATAAATACACTAGTCCAAAGAGAATGTTGTTCCTTTTCTTTCAGGATTTTTTCTGCAAGATGTTTACTTGGAATTGCTTCTTTAATATCCTCTATCACCAATTCTTCTAAATCTGATTTGTCATTGTTGATATCAAAGTTTTGTGCTGGAGTGTCTCTTTTCAGAGTTTCTATGTCAGTTAAGACATGCTATCCAAGGTCTGCAAAATCTTGCAACCAAGACTGTGCTTCGCTATTGGAATAGTTTTGATAACGAGGAATTTGTTTCTGCATCATGATCGCCTGTTTGTCTTCAATGAAATTTTGAACATTATCAGATCTATTGTGATAATTCAGAATACAGAAAGAAAAAAAATATTAGTTGTTGGAGATTGAAGCAACGCCACAAACGGGAAAGGTGGTTAGAGAGAAGTAACAACATTTTCGCATAAGATGACAAATACCTGCAAGTTTGCTAAACACGATAGAACTGAAATGTGGATGAAGGGGACGAGATCTAAGCATCAGGAAGTTTTCGCAATAAGAGGAGATAAGAAAGTATGGATTTCTTAGGGAACCGGATGGGTGTACACAAAGGGGTGTAAAGCAATATAATGCAGGTCATAGTAAACACAAGAATCGCAATTTATTAATGTAACAAATGAATCCAACGACGACAGAAATAGAAATATAAGTTTAACAATTATATTGTGGAAATATATATTATTTTAGGAAAATGTAAAACTAAACATTGGGTATTTTTGAAGGATCGAAAACTAACAAAATTACACCAGTTTCTAGTAGAAATCTTCAGATACACTAAAGTATATTCAAACGAGAGAGGTCTAATATATGGACTAGGTTTCCGGATACGGAATCGAGGGAGCAAAGAAAAATAATTTTTTTCCAGTTTCGCGAAATACGGTTCCGTAAACGGAGGGTAAGGATACGAATGTGGGAGTGTGATTTGGGACTGGCAACGACTGGCGAGGTAATGCGGGATGATCGTGGCCGGACTTTTAGAAGATCGGAAACTGATGGGATGGTTTTGGGCAGCGGATCATACTGGAGGAAACATTAAAAAGTTGACCGGGGAAGTGTTCTAATTATAGTGAATAAGCTTAGGCCTGCGGCCTCCAAGGTAACTGTACATCACTTATTTATGCACAGGTAGACAGGTAAAAGGCCTTCCAGGGGGTGGTTATAGGGGAGGATTATAAGTGGATTTGATAGGATTTGCTAGAGATGAATAGGGGAGTTCGAATAGCAATACAGAATTATCTGGGAAGCGATTCTCTAGCGGAAACAATAGGTTGAGGGAGATCGGAAAATAAGGGAATGGTAAATGAGCATTAGACTCGGAAAGGGAGCATGGTATAAAGGTAAAGGGCTGTCTAGCCTGGGTATCCATTGTGGGCAGGATGAGTATATACAGAGGAGCGCCGTTCTCCTAGGATATACTGGTGCGAGCAGTCAGGGCATTTACTGAGAGTGAAATTTCGTCGGCCACAACCATAACAGAACCAGTTCCTAGGATGGGGGCAGCTGGAATAATGGTGCCCGATTTCCAAGCAATTCCAGCAGGCCCACGAGGAGGAGGGTTTGTCGTGTTGATGTGGAATTGCCGGAGTGGCATTTGGGAGTGGGAGCGACTGGAGAGATAATGCGGGACGCTCATGGTGTGACTTGTGGAAGATCGGTAACTGAGGGGTGGTTTTGGGCAGCGAATCATACTGGAGTAAACCTTTGCAGTCGGCGGTGGAAGATCCCAGTTGAGGTTTGCTGACAGAGAGAGACATCAGCGGCGATAGTACTGAAGTGGCTGTGCATCGGGAATATTCGCGAACAGCCGCAGGAAGAGATGGAGTTGACTTCCGCCTGGCTCTACCTCGGCATCTTGAGCGGCGGGTTACTGGTTCGAACGACGTACTTCTAGAGGTGGTAGTCGGGTGGTCCCTTCGTGACACGTGCCGCCTTCTGTTCTTGGCTGGTGTTAGTCCCTGAGGTGCGTCAGGTTTTAAAGCACCCGATCGGACTGGTGGGCGCACTTTCAAACTCTGTCCTTCCTTTACGTCGGAGCTGACCGGGTTATCTGGAGAAGATATTTCGTTCAAGTGCAGAGCCTGCATCTCGGCAGTGGGCAGTGGCTCCAGGATCTCCTTAAAGGCGTCTTCTAGGAACTGGATGAATCCTGACAGGACTCGATGGCGATTCTTAGAGATGGGTTGCCTATTGCGGCGGTCCATGGTATAAGCTCTCGCTTGTACTGGAGTCCTCCGTGGATCAGGCGCAGATCGCCTTATAAAAAGAGGTAGGGCGGATATGGAGCGTGAGGTAGCTCACAAACTTGAAACAAGCGGCCAGAGTAGGTTATATATGAGAACTATAGAAAAAGAAGAAAAATAAGGAACAAGACGGTTAAATAGCAATATTCAAAAGTAATACAGCATAATAGAAACAGAATTAACAGAAATGTACGTCATAATCAGGATGCCTGGTGGTAAAGTTTTAGGTCTTTAATCCAGCTCTTACCTATTGTTTTACTAGCGGAATCGCATACTTTGTAATACAAGAGAGAATAGAATTTTCGCGATAGTGTAAGGTCCATTAAATTTCTGAACCAGTTTTCCTGAAATGCACTGAGCAGTAAATGAATAGACATAGTGTTGATGTTAAACGAAATCTCATAATTGTAGTTTCCGGCGTGCAAGGTCCCGAACTAATTCTAAGCGTTTCAGATGATCTGTCCAATCATTCGAAATCTGGGAATCGATGGTAATAGATTGTTCTAATTTGCACGTCAGAGTATTCTTAGACTAGAGTTCGCGGTAAACTTTAAAAAATGTTAAAATAAAACCGGTGTGGAATGTCGGGAAGTATTAACCGCAACATAGAAAGGGTAAAGGTCTTTCACTTTCTTGATGATTTTGATCATGATGCGGAATCTGGGAAAAATTTGCAAAATCTATAAATATGATCCATTAGATCTCTTATAATCATCACTTACGCACTTAAGGTACTCGCGGAGTCGATGTCGTACCGACGTATTTAAGTTGAAAGCTAATAATACATTTCGAATTCGGGGCTATGTGGCACTGCATGCACCGCACTGCATAAAAATGAAGATTAGCGGGAAAATTGTTAAGCAAATTCCCAATAGGTAGAAAAGTAGCCTGTTCGTGAATTATTGAAAAATTAATTTGAATTTTCTCACTTCGCGCTCGATAGGTAAATGCTATCCTCGACGAAAAATATCAAAGAAACACAACAAATGAGTACCGGGCAATAACAAAGAAAATCAAAGACTAAAATAAATACAGAATCAGATGCAAGCAATAATTCATAGTTTTATTGTTGACACCAAGCTAAGGGAGGTCGGAAATTCTAGCGATATTTGCCGAATACCAAATAATTCCAGAAGTTAAAAGGTAATTTTCAAAAAGCCTCATGATCGCCTCAAAGGATAGACTCTAAAATATTAATTAGAAATTAAAACAGAATTTAGCACTATTGTCCCTTATATTAACACAAGCGGAACTACAGCCACATTCGCTCTGCTTGTTAAAACAGAGAGCCCTTAACTGGAAATTCGCTATGTATATGTTTTACAAATCACCACAATATTATATAAGAAATAAAGGGATCTCACCGAATTATTCCAATTACATTGTGTATTCGCCCTTGTCTCTGGTCTCGCACAGCAGATTGATTCTCACAAAAAAACTACTAAGTAATTCTCTTACAAAGAAACAGACTAACTCACTACCGTACGACGTTGAAAACGTAAGTGAAGATTTGGTCTGTCTTTTGGCTCGTTAGAGTTTTCCAATCCCTTCCCTCTGACACGTATTTCTTGGAATTGGCAAAGTCAGTTGAGCTATCGTACATAAGAGATCGGTTAAGGGGATGGGATCAAAACAAACGCTTGAGATAGAGAGCGAAATGGAGGAAGAAGAAAGGACGACGATCGACGAACTTTGCCGAGCGTCTCCGAAGAAGATCCGATGACTTCGTGCAGTCTCGGCGTTCAGGGGAAATAAAGAATCCCCCAAAAAACACTTACGTGTAAAAAACTACGCCAAGTACAGGAGTGCTGTGTATTCCTCTAATAAAAAGTATTGATATCACATTATTGAGGCCATGTACATAAGTCACTACATGTTTGCCTATTATATTTGTTTATATTAATTGTATTTTCAAAATTTCGTATAACGTTTTCACTAATCTTTTACATTACTACATCCCCCAAAAAACACTTACGTGTAAAAAACTACACCAAGTACAGGAGTGCTGTGTATTCCTCTAATAAAAAGTATTGATATCACATTATTGAGGCCAAGTACATAAGTCACTACATGTTTGCCTATTATATGATCTGGCACTGGCCCATCATTTTAATTGTATTTTCAAAATTTCTTATAACGTTTTCACTAATCTTTTACATTATTACTGCTTCCCGTAGTTGATTATGATTTAATGGTCATTTAATAATTAATAAAACATTAGGTGATTCAAACTCAGTTATCAAACTCAAAACCAATGTCAACTTTTTATATGTATACAGCTCATTCACAATTAATCGTCAAAAATAATCACGGTAAAAGCTTAATAACACACATATAGTTTTAGGATACTATTAGTACGTTCAAAATAAGTACTTTGGAATTCCTGGCACGGACCCGCCAAATAGTACTCGATAAGGAATCACCTAAAGTTTTATTAATTATTAAATGACCATTAAATCATA